AAGACGAGTATGAGGTCTGGGATGTGGTTCATCCCCCCTCATATCTCCAATACCGGCAGGTGCCGTGGAAGGATTTATATATATATATATATATTATAAATAAATTGCAATACATTACAATCACAGCCTGACCGACGAAGGAAACACAGCACTCACGTTTCGAACGCAGCCTGACCACGATCGAGGAGCCTGAAAGCGACCTCCCATCTCACGCGGAGGTCCCAATCCTGGCACTTAAGGCACTTGCAGCGCTGTCCGACGATGTTCCCTCTGCAATCGTCGCAACTCCCTCCACGATGAAGAACTCGATTGAAAGAGGTGTCGTGCTGTCAGATTATGGAAATCGACGTCTTGAAACTCTACATCGTAATCGCATGAGTCGAAACAGCCATATCCGAGCAAGGGGGGGTCCGTTGAACACCCCAGACCTCAATTTTTCTAAACAGCATTCAAACCATTACAGACATTTTCCTTTCATCTTAAGTATTTTCACTTTTAGTTAAGGAGACCCTGACGCCAGAACATCACCAACCTGAAAAATGTATAAATGAAATTTAAAAATTACTTTTTGATCTGAGTAACGTAACCGGGCAAGGTTGCTCCATTGGGCCCCTATTACTTTCCATGAACACGTACAAAATGTTATCACCTGATTCCTCCATATTTCACAGCTGCATCACCGAATGTTCGCCCGAAGGGCGTTATGACAACTAGGGTATTTACTATTTATGTCTATGGTATGGTATGTCTATTTAACCCAATATTGAGCTAATTACCCCTTAATGAAGACTAATTACTAACGTTCCAGCCCGATGTCCTGTTTTGACATCCATGTCAGATGATAGTCGCCGAAATCAGGATGAAAGCTCTGTCGAGACGAGAATCTTGCGAAAGTACCTCGTTTCACACCCATTTATTAAATACGTAAATAGGGACTGTAATCTGGACTACCCAATTAAAAGGAAACAACTTTGTCCTCGACTTCCATCCAATGAAGACGTTTTCTGGAACCTAGTCGACCAATGGGAAAGGTGGAAAATTGAGCAAACTCCTCCTATGAAGTCAACGGAAGAGTGAGGAGAGAGAAGTCAGTTCGGAGCTGATCGGGGACTCGGCCATACCTCGTGATCGTGGTTCCCTCCCTCAAAGTTATTCTTTTCTTTTCCTCTCCTCCCCAACTAAAAGTTTTCAAGTGTCCATTGGTCCCGTAGCCTTACCGAAAGTCTAATTCAGTGACCAGTGACGGAGAGGATACGTGAGTTCCTTTTGAACTTCAGCTGTATCCCTGAGTTACGTGCAAGGGCCATTAAGTTGGATTAAGCCTGGGGTAAATCTTTAGCAAAATCCGTTTTAAAAAAATGAAAACATTACATTTGTTTTGAATCTGAGACGGACCGGTTCTTTGTGTTTGCTAAGGTTCCTACTGCATTTTATTCTATTTCGAAACTGTCCTCCAAGGGTCAACAAAAACTTTTGTATTCGGTTTTGTCCGTTGAAATTTATCAAATTATTATAATAAAACTACTAATCAGACTCGGTGTGGTGATACTCCATTCTCGAATTTGAACAGGCACGAATTCCACTCACCAAAGGAGTTCGAGGAGTTTTGTCCGGTGCGGGACGTTGAGAGAGTTTAAAGGTAATTTTCCAAAGGAAAGTGAATTGCCTGAAATCACATAGAAGATCAGAGTAAATAGATTGTTTCTTTGCATCCATCTGATTGATTGATACAATCTAACCCATTGCGTCCCGCGCACTTGACAATTTCATGACTCGCCGCATGAAATTAGTTCTAAACCATGAGACACAGAGGTGACGCACTGATTATGCCATACAGGTCAGGCGTGAGAGGGACGCCCGGCATGCGAGAGGGGAGTCTCATAAGGAGGCGATGGAAGTGCTTGGTCCCGCCGGCCTCGCACGTAGAGTCGGAAGGGTGCGTACGAAGTCGGAAGCGTGTTTTGGACTGTGTCCCTTCGAAAAAGTAAAAGTTTCCCAAACTGGGAAATCCTTCCATGTGATTTCTTTATTCCTCGATGCCCATTCTGGTGGGTATAGTGGGTCATGTGAAAATAGTCATGATTACTTTTTCTCCTATAATTGGCGCAAATTTTTTAATTCACTAATTGATCTTCTCGTAAGTTCTCTGAAAATGATTCTGCATTCAAACGATAATTTTTTTTTAATTCTCTCCGAACTCCTTCCCTAGGCCATTTCGTGAGAGAATTAGCCCGAAAAATGTAAATGTGTTTTGAAATGCGTTCTTTTCTTAAGTGAATCCTCGAGGACACAGATGTCTCTACTATATTTCCTACAATGACATAACTCAAATAGCATGCACCAGGAAGACAAGAACAAACAAGAGTAATTATGAACAGACATCGACAAGAATCCCCATTCATAATCCCAGTGAGAGTGCCGGCAACCTAGTACCAATCGGATAAAATGGCACACTTCACGCCTTGAAGATGCGGATCCGCTGAGCGATGACCTTCCGGCAGATGGGACAATTCTGAACCCTTTCGGCGCAAGGGAGGCAGGCGACCATGTGGCGGCAGTCGAGGAACACGCAGTCCAGCTCCTCCTCCAGGCACAGCTTGCACAGGTTTCCGTCATCCCCTGGAACGATACCGTCGAAAGGCAAGAGAGAACACGGAGAGGCATTTAAACGTTGACGGCCTCCTTTAAATGAAAGCGCGTGTTTGAGTGCTACGATGACCATGATTTAAAAGCGATCGACTCGAGATGTAGTGAATGCTTTCGGCATAGCAGAAGTGATTTTCACCCTCATGAATCCCTCTTTGCACTCTTACCTTCTCACAAGAAACGAAAGGAAAGTAATAGCAAAAAATGCTCTTTTTCAGGAAATAAGAATTCCGGTATTTTAATTTATTCTGTACATAATCAGTTTTCCGTTGTTTTCAGCGTTTCCAAAATAGTTATCTTGCTGTAATCGCTTCTGATCTCGGCATTCATTGCCCTCAGGCAACCTTTCTATCCATCCAGGCAAGCTTTCCAGCATTTAAATGCAAATAAATATATCGTCACTGTTGGTCATCATCTGTTTTCCGCTAAATCGAGACATATGTCGTAAAATCGGAATTAAAAAAACATTAACTCATGAAAAATCAACAGAAATCACTTTAATTCACTCACTTTGCCCATTCTCCGTGCATTAAAACCAACAAACTTCACGGCTTGGGAAAAATATTCAATTCATGATGAAATCCAATTACTTCTTGCTTTCAATTAGAGTAGTTCCTAGGCACATGTTTGTTCATGTCAAATGAACATGTCTGTTCATTTTATTGTCCAACCCCCCCACCCCCCCCGTAGAAGATAGTTATTATCAAAGTTTCGTTGATGTTGACCACATGCACTTCCGAGCAACAAACTTCCAAATTTTCCTTCAAACCTTTCCCCGACACTGCAGACTTGAAATATTGTCTGGAAAATCCGCATATTTTCTGTATGAGACGTTTCCATTCTCAAGAAGGATGAGACAGGATTAGGCCGCATTAGGCCACCCTACTTGCCATCATCTAATGCCTGGAGGTCCATTTCTAATCCCTCACAATCTTGCTATCATGCGATCGAAAGGAGCACCTGACAATATTACAGATTAAACACGGTACAATGATTGTGGCCAGCACAGTACGGTGCTTGCCGCAATGCACGCTTGTGCAAGTGCATTTGTTGGTGGATGGCGGCTTGCTAGAGTGGCGCTATAATGAGGTAGCGCCTATGTTAAACCTATAGGGAAGATTTGCTCTCCGGAAAGAGATGGCGACATCCAGAGTGGTTGTATATCGAGGGTTGACTGTACAGTATATAGAGTCAAATGGCACCTCGATGGAATGAGTTCTAATTCGACGAGAGGAATGCTTCCTTTTTTGCGCAGAGGATGTAATTCTTTGGGCAGTTCCTCACCGTCGTTTTGGCCTTTCCCGTAGTCTCACAGGCGAGGGTCGCCGTCCTTAAAGTCTTCAGGAACATCGAAGGGTGGAACTGCTTTCCCAAAATAAATCTCCTTAATTTCTGGATATTTCTTTGGTCATATATAGGGTGGAATTATTGGACTGTTCACTTGCCCTCACGCGCAGTGAGCACGCACTCTGCATATTTCCTTGATGAAAATGAGTTGGATCGTCTTGAATTTGGTTCAAATTTGAAACGGCAAAGCAAAGAGTTCAGACGAGTTCAGATTGTACCTAACTGATATCTAATCCCTGAATTGGATGGTAAATACAGGAATTTCATGGTTAGTATGACATGGTTAGACACGTCAAGAGAAAAGTTCATACCAGCTTGATGAGAAGGCGTGCGCTGGTCGGAAGGAACAGGGGCTTCGCTCTCACCTAAATAAAGAACACCTGATCATTAGCATCATTATGGTTAAAGGAAAGTTGTGTCAAAGGTCAACCCTGCAAAATTGTGTCTCCTGCAATAGCAGTGTCTTTGGCGCAAGGTTTCAGTGGATCAATATTTGCATTGTAGGTTAAAATGTTCACATTTTTTTAAGGATATTTCAAGCAACAACTTCTCTCTTGGTCTTTGCGCTAAGCGAGGATAATCAGCTCAGCCAAAACTAATATTAAATCAGGATGAATGAGTATTGGAATTTCTGAACCCACCGCTTCCAAGGCGCAGTCGTGAATAATTAAAGAATCAGCACTAAGCCTTCCCTAACGCCAAGTACGGCCGTACCGATCAGAGGAGACACTCCGAGAGAACATTTTTAAGTTCATACCAGCTGGAAGAGAAGGCGTGCTCTGGTCGGAAGGAACAGGGGCTTGGCTCTCACCTAAATAGAGAACACCTGATCATTAGCATCATTAAAGTCGTGTCTCTTGTTAACCCGGCAAAATTGTGTCTCCTGCAATGACAGTGTTTTCGGCGCAAGGTTTCAGGGGATAAATTTTTGCATTGCAGGTTCACATTTTTTCAAGGATATTTCATGCAAAAACTTAGCTCTTAGTCTTTGCGCTATGTGAGGATAATCAGCTCAGCTAAAACTAATATTAAATCAGGATGAATGAGTATTGGAATCTTCTGAGAAATACATCCCATTAAAAGAATGAATAAGAATACAGCATTAAAAAAAACTAATGAATATATGAATAAAATCGCGAAAGGCACTTGCACTACAACGAAATTGACACAGGAAACTCTTCAGCAACTTGTCGTTAAAGGCAGTTCACGTTACTGCATAAACGGATGTTTCAGAAAACATCAACGAAAACAGACGAATCTAACTCATTTCATGAACAAGGGGGAAAGAGATTGTAGCCACGACATGCACGCATTATGATTTATTTGGAACAGAACAATCATTACCTAGTGTTGAGGAAATTTTCTAGCATTTTGGTCCAGAATTCGAAAGCTTGAGCTGTTGCTCTCACGATATGCAAACCATGTGGGAGGCTTTGGATGATATAAATCAAAACCATATGTACCATGTTCCAAACGATCGTGCACCAATATCTTCAACTTCGTTGTTTCATACATGGTGGCTTTCTTCGCTTACTGGCAAGTCGGCAGCTTATAAAACTACTGCTGGTTAGTTGAATGTGGGAGAGATAACTCACGGTTGGGAGGCATTCTGAGCATGCGGTGTTGAATGTGCTGGAAAGTGGATTCGCATCCCATGCAGAGGTCGTAGTCCCGACACTTGAGACACTTGTAGCGGTACCCTTTGATGCTCCCTCTGCAACTCGCGCAGGTCACACCGTGGTGCAGATCTCAAATGATAGGAAATATCTTTGTGTAAATTTTAGAAAACGTGCAACGTCAAAAATTAACTTTTCAATTGCCAACACTCCTTTCATATAATGCCAAAGTGAATCAAGAAATCCCTCAAATTTTCCAAATATGCAAATGTTCGTATTCATGTAGGTCTGCATGCAGGCATTAAAAAATTTACATACCATCTGCGAGGATGTCCGAGCGCCTCAGAACAATGGCACTGGGCTTGGAAAAGCGAATCATAGGGTGGTGGGAGTGCTGTTCTTCCAACTGCTCGCAGTCGCTGCAGAGGTTGAAGTTGGGACACACGAGGCACTTGAACCTCCTACCTCTTACTCCTTTGTAACAAGAATCACACATAACTCCTGGATGTTCTTCGGCTAGAGGACAAAGGGAAATCCAGTGTCATAATCGCCGTTCTCGGCTTCCATCTCAATTATTATCTTCATGAACGCATGCGAAGCAAATGTTAGCAGTATGTCTGACGACAAATTAGAAGACGATGGATGGTCACAACCTGCCCAATGAATACTTTAAGAAACAAATTCCTCATTAACAGCAGTTAATTATGTCATAATCTAAGTTTCCTTTATAGACAGAATGCAACAAAATGTTGGCTTGCTATGACTTACCTATCATGCCATCCAGGTCGGGCGTGAGAGGGACGACGGGTACGCGAGATGGAAGTCTTATGAAGAGGTGATGCGGGTGCTCGGTCCCCATGACCTCGCACATACGGCAGAGGACGACCGCAGGGCATTGTAGGCATTTGTAGCTACTCCCTCTAACTGGACCATGGCAAGAGACGCATTCCACTTTCTGGTGAACGTCCCCTATAACATCGATGCAGAACCATGACCATCGTATTAAAGCCCCTTCATTTCTTGGTTATCCTTTTCCCTATTCGTTTGCAGTGGCGAGAATCCGCACTCGCCTTCAATTATTATTATTTTCACTCCTAGGTTGATCCCATCTTTCAGCAACGTGTCTGTGTGTCGAATCATCGCCACTATTCTAAAAAGAGTTACGAATGTAGGAATCATCATCTCGCGTGATTGCAGGGTCAAAGGGTCTAAGTCAAAGCGCATAGCATTGATATTGCATATAGCGAAATGACTGTGATTCACAATTGCCATGCGAACACAAGTTGAGCCAATTGCTTTCAGAGCCAGTGGCTAAGAAAATGGACTTAATGGAGGATATACAGTGCAAAAACAACAAAAAATGCCAGACTCAAGATGAAGGTCTTGGTCAGGAATAACACTGAGAATTCCAGCAGGGTAATTCAGCGAAAAAGAGGCGCCATCAATGCTCTCTCGGTATATCTGCAACCCCGTGTTACCTATGGTCCTATTTCTTGAGACCAGTGGCAAGTGACCAACTTCGTCCAAATGCGTGGCAATGTTTCTTCAATTCGCTAGATTCACTAGTGTGGGCATAATGATCAATATCTATAGGTCTAATGTATTCGTTTTTCAGTTTTGATGCTTCTACTGTGGCGCCCTTAAACCGTATCACTAAATGTGCTGATGAACTTCCCAAAGCTCCATTATGGCCGAGGAAGTTCAATGCAGTTCGTACATTTTTCTGACCTTTCCAGTCGTGTTAAGTGCACAAGTGACTGCATAATCACTCTGTGTATATCTAATTCACGGATTATGATTTCCAGTGTCATTACGCCTCTATTTCAGTACTTATTCGTTCCCATCTGGCCTGCACGGTGAATGGAAGAGATAGCAAACGATGCTAACAAGTTACTTTCGATTTTCGATTCAAAACTAATTCCTTTTCTATACGCGTTAAGCCAAATACAACTGGTCTCTTTCTTTCAAGTAATATGGTCATCCTCAGACTGTCTTTCATGATGATGACATTAGTGAACAGTTGTGCTGCAGATGATTACCGATTCATCTACACCTGAAAGGAACATCAGTCTATCCTGAGATTCTATCATCATCATTCTCCAAGAAATGCGAAAGCAAGCAGACGCCCTGAGAACCGAAAGCATGTATAAATAAGATCGGAAAACGAGATGGTGCTAAGGAGGACTCCCACCTGACACAGGGTGGAGTAGGGAAGACGCGGAAGACTTGATTCGGAGCATGTTGTGGCCGGTGTGGACGATGCCATCCGCCTCGCAAGTGGAGCAGATCATATAATCGACGCACTCCACGCACTTGTAGAAGACGCCGGCGATTCTCTCCTTGCAGCTGTGGCATGCACAGGCTATCTCGGTATCTGAGGAGGGATTGTTTCGGGATTTATTCTATCTGAAAATTTGAAACGCTGTTAAGTCGCCCTCACAATGAAGTAGGCAGCTCTTGGCGTTGAGATTTGCAAACTGCTTAAATTGCTGATATTGAATCTATTGAAACTTATTTCTGGTAAGCCCAGCTGAAGCATTATTAATATCTACGAACCTTCATGATTTTTAACTATATATCTGAAGTGTTGTGTTACGGAAAGACTGAAATCTTTTCGATCCATGACTCAATTTTCTGCTTTGCTAGGTCGCATAGTATTAATTGGCTTTATAGCGCCTATTAATTTTCTTCAACCCCTTCCTGCAGCAAAAATCAACCTCTTCCTATTCCCCTCCGAGAGTACCAACATGAACGAAATTTCGTATAATTATTCCTCTCTCAACACCGAATCGCTCCAGCAAATTTTAAGCTCCATCTCCCCATCTGAAGATGACTTTCATTTCTTTTTTTTCTCCCCCCCCCCCCCCCCTCGAGTAGTCAGCCACTCCTGAGGAGCTTTCAGAGGAAAGAAACCAATCATGTGAAAGATAATGACTTGTAGAAGACAAAAGTTCCATTTTGTTGAGTGCGATGCACCATTTCGCCATTAAAGCTGAAATTAGCTGTCATTCATTTAGGTTTAGATCCCGCCCCCCAGTGTTGCCGGATATAATGGAGACTCATGACTTATTTGACTTACTAACTTTGTCTGGATCTTCCATTCATTTTTAATGTAGGAGAAAATATTGTTCTGAATTCATGGGATGAACAGAGACTGAAACGGGGGTTTGCAGTGCTCAATCGATTTGGTGGAATGTGGGGATTTTCTTCCCGGAAGGAGTCGAGACGGATTGAGGAACTCTGGATATATGCCAAATGTTCCACGGCCGCACTGAAGTGGTTCATTACACTTGAAAAAAGCCTACAATCGATCTAACGATTCACAGTCTCTGTTAAATGGGCCATGAAAGGCTGAATAGGCCTGCGATTGGCCTAACATGACATGTCCTCGACGAGGTGTTTGGAAGACCCAGGATTAATCCTTATAGGCATAATTGGTCCGTAGGTGGAGGACTGAGTTTCTTTTGAACGAAAAAAAGGGAGGGATGGGCCTGAGATGATAGTCCGTCTGTTAGGCCTAGTCCTAACGAATTCCGTTAACGTCCTAGTGAATTCCATAAGGAAGGGTGGTGAGATTGAGATTGGAATTAGGGTTGAAGAAAGGGAAAACCTTTGAATATTGGTTTTCACATGACTAAATTTGACTATTCCTCATATCTCCATGTGGATAGACGCACGTGTATTTCTCAAACTCAAAGGAATTAATGTTAATTGTCTGGCTCCATCAGTTGTGCTGATCCAACTCCAAGCTACTTCGTTTTCATCACCGCTTTCACTTTCATCAAGAACATTGGGACCTGTCTCTGGATCCATGAGGGGCAATAGACTTCTAGGCCGTGGAACCTCTTCAGGAGCACTGGGAACGAGAGGAGCCTGCGATGCCGCACCAGGAGGGACTTGCTGCTGTGTTGCATTCATGGCCAGCCCTCTCTGCATTTGCATTTGGTTTATATAGGTCATATTATAAGGGGGGTCGAGTGTATCTGTAACAAAGGAGAGGCACAAATTATTCTCTTACAGAAGCAGCAAACACCCAATAAGCTATTAAAAAGAGACGAGAGGAAACGTTTGAGATCAGTACACTCACATTCCTGTGGAAACCTAGGAGTGGGATTGAATATGAATGTTGATGCAGAAGCAGAGTCTTTTGTCTTGGGTAGATGCGTTGGAGCTCCTGCACCACCAAATTGGAAAGGAGAAGATGCCAATATATTTTCATGTTTGACAGCGTCCTACATGGAATCAGGAGAGAACTGAATATCTGAGACAACAGTCATCAAACAAAAAAATTGGGAAATATGGGGGATTCTCAATATTAATTGAGGACTACTTGTATCATGTAAGGGTCCCAAGCAGCATGTTCACGTAAACAATATATCAATTTTTTGCAAACAATGTTAATTTATTGTGATTGCCATAAAATAGACCACGTTTACGTACAATTTACGTTCCTATATTTACGTCACCAAAGTGAACGTATATTTTACATCAACTAGACGTCACTCAATCTGACGTGAAGTACATGATATCATGTTTATGAAAAATTAACACCACACCATCCATATGAAACTTTAGTTGACCATCCTGCAGTTGCAGTACCAAGATTCCTCACTAGATGAAAACCTTCTTTACTCAGCTTTACCTTCTTGCAGAAGTTTTCGGAGATCATATCCATGAAGAGGAGAAGGTGTTGTCATGGGCCTTGCTCAATGTGGAGGCCACTAAAAATTTCCTGTCATTCTTGCAGATTTTTGACTGAAACTAAATAACATTTTTTGACGAGAAGCAATATTCACTGTAGAGTTTCACCTATCAATTCTACAGATTGACTCTTTAAATACGCATGAATGCCAGGGGAAAATTAACATCAATCTCACATGAAATGCTGTTTGGAATGTAAACATGCAGTTTGGAACGCAAACAGGAATGTCAATTTTACGTAAAATTTAGGTTAATTTTATATCACCGTTTACGCATCACAGAGGTGACATTTCTGCAAACATGTTGACATTTTCTTGACAATAGTTTGCGTAAAAATGATATAAAATGGACAAAAAAATTTAATTCATTTTACGTAAAATTAACATAAACATGCTGTTTGGGGTATACACAACTGCAGTTGATCAGGGTACTTTATCGCAAGGCACTTGCCAGAAAACAAGGGGTTTTACCGCACAACCAAGATACCAGCAAAGCACGTTTAAATTATTGCAAAAATATATTTCAAGTTTCAAAACAAATTGTCATACGTGGTGTTTTACAATCATTCAAAGTTGGAACACCGATGTGACTGTCTACAACCTGCTAACCAACTGGGCCTACATGGAGAAACGTGATCACAGGCAGACACATGTCGAAAAATATTTGGTGCAGATGGGCTATCTCCCCTCTCTCCTTTAAATGTAAATAAGTTTGTTTTTTTTTTTACTCAGAGAGAAGAACTCAAGAAAAGGTATACATTGGATTCACTTCCAAGGATGACAATGGATTGAGAAAAACGTTCCATGGCCTTCAATGCTCCTGCTCTCTCACTATAGAGCATCCCTTCATCAGTGAGCAGAGCTACCACCTGCTTTGATTTCTCCCGTACATTCATTCCCAAATCCATTTTATCTTCCAAATGCTGAAAGTCCTTAAGAGTTTGAATCACAAATATTTTCTCCTTGCACAGCTGGGCCACCTTCAAAAAACAACCCAAAAATATCATAAAAAAATCACGATGAAAAATTCCCTGGCCATGGATGAGGAACCATGGGCGCACTGACTTTATCACTGCCTGTTTTGATTAGGTATTCCAGCAAAACTAAGGCTTTATAGACATGTCTCCAATTCTTTCCATGGTCATTCAGTCGCTTCCAGATCAGTTGCATGATTTCACTGAAGGCAATAACATTGTGAGTCATGTCTGCAATCTCAGACATCAATGTGCTGGAAGGACCCCAAGGATCATTGCTTGTTGCTTCACGCACTTTCACCTATATTTAAAAGGTGAGAGGATTGTGAGTCTTTATGTCCTCGTTATCGATACACATCTCAAATCAAGTACAGCAGAGCTAGCGTCTCATTGAAACCTACTCACCTGAGCATCAGTATACTTGTAGGAGATATTCTTCAAGTTTTTTTTCAATTTAGCTGCCATTTTCAGGATTCCCACCTGGGTAACGTCCGTATTAGCCTTTAAACCTCAGGCCAGGTAGCTTACTATTAGTTGTAATTTTTTGTGCCTGAAAACGAAATTGCAAGTAAAATTAAAAATCTGATATGATAATCAAGAACTGAAACACCATCAATTCATTCCTCACTCCCAAAACTTGCTGCCAAGGCAACAATGGAGAAAGTCATAGGACAAAGTATAATACCATGAGGATTGAATGTGCATTGTAGAGGATTTTCCATGATGGTGCAGTAAATAGCGAATTGAATGTATTAATTTGTGCATTGAATGTAGCAAAAAAACTTTTGCATAGAATACCAAAAATTCATGAGAATTACACTTCTTAAAATGCTATGACATTCAATGTGTTTACATCGTGAACCACCACCACGCAACAGTGTCAGTTCAGAAATCCTACAGCCACTGGTTGTCACTTGCACAGTTCAACCATGATCAAATTACAAAAGAATATGAATGTCCAGCCACAGATTCTCCCTGATTTGAAATGCTCTGCTGGATGCCCCTAAAACACCCAAGACAATTATGAAGTTGCCGTTATTGCAGTGTTCATAGAAACCATGACAATTTTATTGATGTCATAATGCACAGGCTTTTTTCACTTATTTTACGGTTTAAAATTTCTTGTAATAATATTTTTTTATTTTTCATGGTGTCTGATGTTCTTGTACCTTCATCTGTACATGGTTTACGAATTACATCCATTGCCCATAGAGGGCAATGGATGTATTTTATAACCCATGAAGTCCTAAAATGAGCTAGAACAGATATTTTACTTTAACCAATTCAGCCACTTCGTCAGATGCTATGCATTTGGCAATTTTATGATTGATTAATGAAATTTCTATATACTGTATAAAAAAGATTTGTGGCATCCCAGGTTATGTTCAAGTTCGGAGATGAATCCCAGGCTAGAATGTCAAAATTCCAACAAATCATAGGCTACGTCTGCGTGAGAAAGCTAAAACCATGAACTAGGTCTAACATTATGCTCAAAATAAACTAAGGAGAAAAATTCAATGAAAACGGTTACTTGAGCGATTCATCTCGGTCGGAACCCTTCCTGCTCATGGTGTGATATCTAATATTTCTGTTTGCTAGATATAGGATTAAAATTCATTCATTTCCATAAGAAACTAAGACCATGGATTCGGATTAGACCAGTATGGACCAGTATTCTCGTATGAAAATAGTTTGAAACACGAGAACGCTTTTCATTCCACCACCCACAGTGCTGTGAAAACCTTTTTGAGTTATTAAGACACTTGATGCACTTTTTCCTGAAGAAACACGATAAATTCACATTCAACTGAAGCACTTGTATGCACCGACTTTCTATTTCCGCATGGAGAAAACCCCTCAAAATATCACACGATAACGTCAGCTTCATGTGTCATAGTTCTCTGCTCGATGTATGTGCATGGTAGTCGATCTCTTATCTGTGGGTCTCCTCACTCTGAGGCAGGAAGATATGCCTTTATTTGCTTCTTTCACAAGAGTTCCTTGCCAGGCCTGTTATCTACCATTCTTTGGTAGATAACAGGCTTTGGTAGATAACAGATAACAGGAAAATTGTTGATATTGCGTTTGGTCTGGCACTTTTTTCCCATTTGTCTGTCTGCAGTGTCCATAGCAACCTAACCACTCGACTCAATGCGCATGTGCAGCTTTCCGCCTCGGTCGAGGTGCAAGTATAAGACTGAAATTTCCACTTCCCCATTATCATTGTCAGAAAATGTTCGTTGGCACATATTGCGAACGATTTCATGAGAGGCGTGTGTCATGTACATTTTGAACATTCATTAGACAAGGTCTCGCGGAAGGACTTTGCAGAGCTTTGGCTCTGACGCTGATCCTCCATGATTTGCAACACCGCACTAACCTATTGGCAGTATCAGCTCCCTTTCAAGTAGGACCTCAGGCAGCAAAATAGCATCCCATGCACATCCTCTGGATATTTGGATATACACACTGAACATCTGGACGAAATATGCAGTGTATGAGGATATCCACATGCACCGCCTCATGGACATCCGCTTGACTTTCCAGAAATTTTCGTGGCACAAAATTTGAATGGAGGTAAGTATCCCTCATACAAAAAGTTAAATGTTATCTTATGATTTTGGCACTATGTATGCATACATGCAAAAATATGCGACGTTTTTCCAGTGATGTAAGTTCTCTTTGTTCACACTCGTAGCGTATGTTCACTTAGATCTATGGTTGATCATTACTCTTACACCTACAGTTATGTTTTGGAAACTTTGCGAAAGTCAAATTCGACCTTGATGGTTTGTTAAGACCAGGTTTCATTTTTTTAGGACCATATTCCCCCAAATTACCCTATAGGTGGTCCTGCACATCATTTTTCAGTTTTCTGTTGCCTTGAGGTACTTTTGCAGATGTACCTGTTTTCTTTAAGCCCCTCAATAGGTGTGTCATTCCACATGAGGCGGACTTTGATCTGCGAGGGGTGATCAAAGCTAAAAATGAAGTTTTTTTCATTTTTAGCTAATACAGCTAAAAATGAACTTGTCAGGTAGCATCTGATGCCAGGCATTTTTCTCTCATCCACATTAGTTCTCCAAGAGCATTTCAACTTCTCACTTACAATTTTTCTTTTCATCCAGCTAAGCTCCGTCAGGTGGGTATATGAATACACATTTTCTACTGTTTCTCAATAGAATTCAAAGATGAGGGGATGATCTCGTTTCTATACTTTCTCTCACTGAAAACTCACTCTTACTGATTTCCTCCTTTGATATGGTTGCGAGCTGTATATGAAATTACACAGCTAGGAAAGAAACTGTGATGATGAGGCTCCATCCTTACATCCATAGACTTCTGTGAACAAAGCTACTTATGATGGCTGTTATGCCATCATTTACTATGATTCCAGTACTACTTGGAGAATTTTATAAAATGAGCTTTGCATCAGTTGCGAAGAACCAGCAGTCTTGTCATTCAGAGGTTGAAGAATTTCAGGAGGTGTGCGAGAAGATTCTCTCATCTCCCAACAGTAAAAAATGAATAAAAGTGTTCAAGAGCCGATGGCCTAAAGAGACACCCCGATGTCAAAGGAGACACATTTTGGATATTCTCCACAGTGAAGAATATGTCAAAAATATGTCCTATAAAAGTCCAACATGATCTGGCTTTCAAAAAATGAGCTCAAGTTTTCAAATCTGGTTTTCTAAGTCAGATGTCCACCATCAATTCTCAACATTCACTGTTAGAATCATCCAAAAGTCTGGAATCATCACAGCTGCATCCAGTAATCAAACAATTTTGGCGAAAGTCTTCAGAGAACCTGAGATATCGGGACCAAGAACGAGAACATGACAGATGCTGCTTCGCCACCGGCCCTCTCGAGGAAAAGCCGAGGACGACCGACCTAATCGAGAGGGCATGTTCTCTCTTCTTCACCACTCACCCAACTCTCCTGGTTTGGCTAACTTCTGGCTCTTTCCTTAGCTTAAGTCCAGAATTGCCAAAGACTACTTATAGGGATAGATTAACAAGCAAAGGCTGAATGAGCAGAGCTGCGTAGTATTCCTGCGCTGGACAACCATGACCCCATAGTGTTACTTTTTCCTTTTTCACTGAGAAAGAAATATATACCAAATAGCACCAAGATGAATCATTTATGGCTTTTAGAAATTCCATAATGAGTGCAAAAGTTTTCTCGCCTCACATTTCTGTCAAATCTATCATTTCTGTAATTCGTACATTTCAAAAATTCGATTATACTAATATTAATATGCATAGTCGCGTAATTGAAATAACTCATTAAACAGGTTCTTAAGAACAGGACAGGCACGGCGGCAAGTAAATTTCCCAGTGGTTATAAAATGCATGTAGATATATAGAACTTGAAATAACATTATCTTTTTATGGAAGTTTTTTAAGCGCCTCCCAGCCAGAATGCATTCTGGATGCAGAATCCCTAGTTTGAGATAAAATATTTAGGTTCTCGGGTTTGAGAGGGAAGCGGTAGAAATAAATGCAGAAGCCTTATGGTTTCCATATCAGCTTTTTTGGTCATTCCAAGCTGTTCAACCCATAAAAAGATTGTACCTCGAGCCCATCTCCGTGCGTTCGTGCAGCACAGCGGCGAGACCACTTTTAAATGCGAATATTCCATCATTTATGGGTTTCATGCGCATAGACCACTTTGCCTTTCAGCCCTTCAAATGTTTGCAACAATTTCGTGATGCAACTTTCTTGTTAGTTAAGCTTTCATTCTTTGTCTGGGACCACATCAACTTATTTTATTCATAACATCAGGGTTAATGCTACTCCAATCATGTAAGGTGAACGACTACATCATGTGTAAAAAGAGATGGTAAATCGGAGGTAAAAAGTATCCCGAAGGTAGCAAATTGTGAATTACAGGTTAAATGTATTTGTAAGTGCATGTAAAACACAGTTAAAAAAAACACACACATTTGAGAAAGAGGGGAACTATGAAACTGAGGTACATTAAAAGTAAGAATGTGGTAAAATATCGCGGTGAAATTCGGCAGTGGTGGAATTCAGAAAGTGGAACAGGGGGAAAAACCTGGAATTTTCCCAATTGAAATTTTAGACCTTAGTTTTACCATCCAAAATTTACTTTAGATTTAAAAAAAATATTGGGATGCAAATTAATTTCGAATTAATATTGAAACTCATCGGAATCAATAAAATAAAGACATTGCTTCGTGGTAAGAGTGTTTTTGCCTTCTGTTTACCCCCATTATATCCTTTCAGTAATTGGGTGTCCAATGGACCCCCCTTGTCCGGTTACGTTCGTCTTTTACCTTGTCCGGATAAGGGTTTATTAAGACAGCCGTAGTCCTAACTTCATTTGTTTTGAGTAATCGATAATGCCTTTACAAAGGAAGTATACGTTTTTCCAAGACAAATATATATCTTTTTTATGGATACCTTGCTTAAGTATAAATACATGTAGTATGATACCACTTTCACAGATACCATCGGGGAGTATGGTCGTGGCCTAAAAGCGACGGAGCCTGGCTTGGCGAAGCGAATCATCGGATGATGAAAGTGCTGCATCCACCATAAAAATCCACCCGGGTGGAAGGGGAAGATCCATCTGCCTCGAGAAACGCATGCGCGGATGACCAGCTGAATCTCCACAGGGTGTACGCGACAGGCGACGGGCGACGCGGACTCACTCGTTCGATGACGGAAGACGTCGGTTGGAGGCTGGAGGGCGGCTCGCGAGAAGTGGCTGCGTCTGGAGGATGGACTTCCCATTTTGTTGCATCCCGTTTGATAATGTCCCGAGAATGGGATGACTCAAGGAGGCTGCCGCGTCGAGTGCATCCGCGGAGTCGGAAGCGTGTTTCGGACTGTGTCCCTTCGAAAAAGTTTCCCAAACTGGGAAATCCATCCATGTGATTTCTTTATTCCTCGATGCCCATTCTGGTGGGTATTGCGGGTCATGATTACTTTTTCTCGTATAATTGTCGCATATTTTTTAATTCACGAATTGATCCTCTTGTAAGTTCTCTGAACCTGATTCTGCATTCAAGCGATAATGTTAATAAATTCTCTTCGAACTCCTTCCCTAGGCCACTCGGTGAGCGAATTCGCTCCTAAATGCAAATTTAAGCGTGTTTTGAAATACGTTCTTTTCTTATGAGAATCGTCGAGGACACAGATGTCTCTACTGCATTTCCTACAGTGACAAAACTAGCACAGCATTCACCAGGAAGACAAGTACAAACAAGAGTAATTATGATCAGACATCAATAAGAGTCGCCATTCATAATTCCAGCGAAAGTGCCGGCAACTTAATCAGACAGTCACGCCTTGAAGATTTTGATCCGCTGAGCGATGACCTTCCGGCAGATGGGACAATTCCGAACCCTCTCCGCGCAAGGGAGGCAGGCGACCATGTGGCGGCAGTCGAGGAACACGCAGTCCTGCTCCTTCACCAGGCACACCTTACACAGGTTTCCGTCATCCCCTGGAATGATTCCGTCGAAAGGCATCTTCCTTTGAATGAAAACGCGTGTTCGAGTACGACGACGATTTAAAAGCGATTGACTGGAGATGTGGAGAAAGCTTTCGGCATGCCAGAAGTGAGTTTCAGCCTCGTGAATCCCTCTGTGCACTCTTACCTTCTCGCAATAAGCGAAAGGGAAAATAATATTTTTAAAATGGACTTTTTCAGGAAAAAAAAACTAGTCTTTCCAGTGTTAGAATTTCCATGCTTTGCATAATCATTTTTCCATTGTTTTCAGCGTCTCCAAAATATTCATCTTGCTGAAGTCGCTTCTGATCTCGACATTCATTGCCTTCTAGGCAACCTTTCTATCCTTCCAGGCAACCTTTCTATCCTTCCAGGAACCTTTCCAGTTTTTAAATGCATGAAGATACCGCATATGTGACTCCGGAGAGAGAAACATTCACTAAGGAAACGTTAACCCTTGGTTTCTTTGCTATTGCGAGAGGATTTATTATTTGTAGGTTTATTATTCGCAAAAACCCTTTTTTTTTCTTTTTGCGAGGCTTTACACTGAAAAAAAGCGCAGATGAAAGTTATAAGCTTCGATTCCTCGAAATTTCTGACACGGGTGGGATTGGATTGCTTGACCGACAATATCTTTATTAGAAGGCATTATAAAGGCGCTAAAAAAGGCTCCTCTCCCCCTTCCACCCTCCCCTCACCCTCCTCCCTTTGCCACCCCACCTTCCCCCTCTCCCCCACCCACAAACTAGGGTAACCCTTCTAAAAGTCTGATTTTTTTAGTTTTGGGTGGAATCTGGGTTTCCCGCGGCACACTTGCCGATAATTGTGTTGCGATGAAAGACTCATATGGTAACTTCAGGGGTTCGGCTTCACCGGTTAATTCATTCATCGTCGCTCACCTTCGAGTCTCTCTGAATCAGTCGTCGCCTGGGGCTCGAGCCCTCTGGACGAGGAACGCATCGGCGGCACCGGCGGCGGGGACGGAGACGACTGGGCTCGGAGGCACGAAAGCGACTGGGCTCGGAGGATTGGAGGTCGGGGCTCTGGCGGCGAGGCTGCATCGCTCTGTGGATGTCAACGATGCTTTGGTATGACAAGAGCGAAATTATTTATGGATTCTCCATGTTCCAGAGATCTGGTTCCTGGAGACACCTCATTAGACACTTCATTATCGACTCATAGCCAAAAAAATCAGTACTGTCAAAGAGAGCTTGAGCCATATTGATGAAATTCGATACGCGGACCCACAGGAATATGTAATGAAATATATTGGAGCTATTAAGGGCGTAGGAGGATGGACATATGATGTCAGGACGACAATAGGACGCAAGAGGACGACAACAGGACGACAGAAGAAACCCCTCAAATATACTGATGTGAAAGGAGGGCGTCAGGTCCTACCAATCTTCCAAACAAGCAAGTAAAAGAAATTTACCAATGATATATTGAAGAGGAACTCTTAAAAAGGTGCAGGAAAACTGAGCGAAGTTTAAAATGTATAGGATGCAGCAATAAAATTACCGAACGTCGCCGTGTAGCGAATTCTCGGTTAAACTCAAGTTTGGTGCAGTCCTCTGAATGCATTCTTGACTGAGTCTGAGATTTTCTTTCAGAGCCGCCTCATTTTTGCAACGATTGGCAACGATTGCAACGATTGGCGCAAAGTTCAAAGTTACGAACGCCGAAGAATTGAAACAACTTTTAGTTGAAGAATTAAAAAAAAGAAAGAATAAATATTTCTGAGAGTCCCACACGAATGGGGACCTTGCCGAACGTGAAAGGAAAAAGGCAATTATCCTCCCCACTGTTCTGCAGGAATTACTGGACTGATTGCAATAATGGAATCGTCTTAAAATTGTTCCTGAGCCGCGACAGTCGCATATACTGCACTGTGCGTACGTGAGTGAATTGGAGGCGAAGCATCGGATGATGGATGTGATTCTGTCCGGCAGCGCACGAAGAGCAGAGGTCGAAGTCCGGGCACGCCAGGCATTTGTATCGTGCTCCTTGGTCCTGCTCGCTCTCGCAGACGCCACACTTCCACGGAGTCGCTGTGGGAAAAGGCAGGTAATCGGGCAAATCGGAAATAGAAATCGAGAGAAGGAGGCGGTGGGATGGGTAGGAGGTACTAAGTGTTACTTCCTTCAACTCGAGGGCTCTCCCCTGAGATCCACGTGGAGGATCGAGCGATAGAATTCTTTCCATTGCATGGACATTCAAAGAAAAGCTGTTTTTATATATCGATACAATTAGGGGCGTGAACGGTATGCATGAATGTTAACCTTAAAAAATCTCACCGGAAACGAGTACAGGTCCTTACCTCGCGCAAGAAATCGAAACAGAACGCGACTCGAGCGACGCACATCGAGTCCGAGATCGCTCAGCAGCTATGCGAGTTCTAACTGACAGATAAAAGGAGAATATCCGAAAGTGACCCTTATTGACTCTCGCGGTGACTACTTGCGGGGATTCTGACTTTCGCAAGTCTGTCGAGGCTGGAAGGTCTTGAGATACCAAAACCGCATCGTTTATGAATACGAGCAACCTATAGTTGTGGTATTGGCAGAAATTTCCGATCCAATCGAGCAACGACCGAACCACGGAGCGGCTCGACCCGGCACGACTCGACTCACCGGCTTGCGAGACGAAAGACGAAAATCGGATGACGGGATGCTCAGCGTGCACGGCGTCGTTCTCGTTGCACGGCCCGCACGCACTCGCCTGGCAGTTCGCGCACAGGTAACGAAAGCCGGCGATGGAGCCGTTGCACAGCGAGCAGAGCGATCTCGCGGGTTCGGGATCTGCAAAGAAACTATTACGGCACTCGTCACGCCATCTCCACTGACGAAAATTCACTGACCGGCCGAAGAAAGCCCATTCTTCTCGCCGTTCCTCGCAGACCATCTAAGCACTGGGTGATGGGAGTGGACCCTCCTCTCCTCGCAGGCGGGACACAGGTCGCAGTCGGGGCACGCGAGGCACTTGTAACGGAGGTCGCCGATGGCCCGCCTGCACGAGGCGCATTCCGCATCTGGGGGTGTCACGCGTTGGCATCGTTAGCACCGTTCTCGAGGGATGACGTTGATTTGCGAGCATTTTCGATTCGAGCAATTTTCTGACCGCGTTCACTTTTGTCGGCTGCGAGAAAATGACGATTTCTACGGTGCGATTTTTCGAGGTGGAAATACGTCCAAAACACGAGCGTTATTCAGAGACAGATGAGAATGAAAATCACGTGCTGGACGGATGATAATTGATAACGATGAAGATGATGTTTAGAAACTGATGTCTGCCTGATTAAAGATATGATAGAAGCACGGCTTCCAAAGAATCTACTTCGACGGTGCAAAGCTTTTCGTTAGTCCACAGCAACGTTCGGTATTTTGATGAAAGTTTCCGGGAGCCGAAGCCTATTGGTTGCATTTCCGTTAGTCGAAGCAAATTGGTTGCATTTCCGTTAATCGAAGCCAATTGGTTGTATTTCCGGGAGCCGAAGCCTATTGGTTGCGTTTCCGTTAGTCGAAGCAAATTGGTTGCATTTCCGTTAATCGAAGCCAATTGGTTGTATTTCCGGGAGCCGAAGCCTATTGGTTGCATTTCCGTTAGTCGAAGCAAATTGGCTGCATTTCCGTTAATCGAAGCCAATTGGTTGTATTTCGGGATTTCGGGACATTTTGTCAGGCCTTTCCATGTCCTCTCAAATCACTACAGTCGTTTGCGCAGCGAGCATTGTCAGGCTGTTCATTTTGCTGTAGGGATGGCACGTTTGTTTCACATTGCTGCCACAACGGAAAAGTGCTTCTGATGCAACTCACACTTAACGCTCACACTGTTGTTCATTGGTGCTAATGTGGAGGCGAGGCATTTTCAGGAAT